CAGCACTTCTTAGAGTTACCACATGGTGGCACCAACACATAACAGAAAAGTTAGGTCAGCCTACTGCAGTGAGTGACAGGGTTCCCCCTGCTGCCTACGCCTCTGCAAAGAGACTCCAGGGCATCGGGGCTGAACAGGGCTCAGGTGCACCCTCATCAAAGCCCAGTCCTGCTAGAGGGTCACCCATTTACAGACGGCCACCAGCTTTGATAAGCCCCTCAGAGGTATAAAGTTTTACCCTCTGGTCATCCTCCCACTGCTGCCGCTCCTCCTCCGTGTCAAATGAAATTCCTTCTTCGCCTTCCTCGCGTCTTCCTGGAGGAGCACAGGGAGCAGGTCAGTCCACGCCCTGGACTATCCCCAGAGGCCCCGGACAGATCTGCAGGGCCACGCAGCTCCAGAAGGGCAGCCCCTGCTCATCCTCGCTAGGGCGAGCAAGCCTGCTCTTCTGCCTCTTGTCCCCCAGGCCTCACCTCGACCCCTGGACAGACGTGGAGTAGACCCCAAGTGTCTTCTGTCATCGGCCCACTCATTGTATTTGTAGGAGGGAGTTGGCAGAGGCGTGTCATCCGAGTACTTGCCCCTCACAGACCTGGGAACAGCAGCACCAGCATCACAAAACTGTCACTGAGCTAAGCCACGTCCTACTGGCCGCCATCTGCTCTCCCTGCCGAGGTTCCTTACCGCCACCCAGCGAAACTGGGCTGCTCTGCCCGGAACATCACCTGTCTCGATCTCGAGTGGACAGCCGATGGCTCCGCTCAGAATCCCGATAGGAAGGCGTCGGGGAGGGCGATTCCCACTGGGAGCGCCTTGAGGAGCCATAGCCACTGTCCTCTTCCTCCCAGGTAGACCTTGAAGGGGTGGCTGCATCTGGGGCCACAGAAGACACATCCACAGGAAACATCTCACTTAACCACGACATGGCTCTAAAACCAGTTGCCAAAAGTAAATTCCCCAAATTTACTTCTTTTACTATTTCTAAACCTTGCATGTATCTATAATGGGTAAGATCAGTTTTGACAGTTTTTTAAGATATCTCAATTTTTAGTGGTCCAGGATATATTTTTCTTTTTTTTGTTTTTTTTTTTTTTTTTTGAGAGGAAGTCTCGCTCTGTCACCCACGCTGGAGTACAGTGGTGTGATCTTGGTTCACTGCAACATCAGCCTCCCGGTTCAAGTGATTCTCCTGCCTGAGCCTCCCAAATAGCTGGGATTATAGGTGCCCGCCACCACCCCAGGCTAATTTTTGTACTTTTACTAGGAACGGGGTTTCACCATGTTGGCCAGGCTGGTCTCGAACTCCTGACCTCATTTGATCTGCCTGCCTCAGCCTCCCAAAGTGCTGGGATTACAGCTATGAGCCACTGCACCTGGTTAATGGTCCAGTTTTCATTCTGTGTTTATGACAACATTTTAAGGGATATTTACTTTATCTCTACAAACACACCCTTCTGGGATATAAATAGTTCTTTTTAATAAACCCTTCTACCTCCAACTCCCTATTCTTTCCTGCCATTTGGAAAACTGGCCATTCAGCAAACCAGCCTCTCACCTTACAGGAACCATATCCACCCCAAGTGCAGAGCCGTGCCCACCTGACTCAGAACCAACTATCCCAAGATGTTCATGGTGGAATCGGGAATTCTGACTCAATGCCTCAGCAATCTCACTGAAGACAAGAGTCACTCACTCTACCTTTTATACACTGGAATCCTCACAAGCCGCCAAAACAGTGAGTCTACCTTTAGGTCGATGTCGTGGGCTCTCAGGCTCATTTCTTCTGCTGCTACGCTCTGACCCTCCATCTCGCTCCGATCTGCTGCTGTGCCTACTTCTATCCCGGTCATCTATGAAGAGTCACACAAAGCTTAAAAACATGCACCCCATCCTAAGGTACACTCATCTTCACCCTAGAGAAAGGACATAGGCTGCCCACTCACTCACAGGTGCAACCTGCACTGCTCGAATGTGATCCGTAGACTCCTGAAACTCACCTATGCCCATTCTCCCAAGGGGGAAAAATAGTTACTGCCTAGAAAGTTTCAAACCCACAGTAACAGTTATTTTCCAGCAAAAATTCAAAAAATAATAGTACAAGTTTACAGTAAATATTTTTTTTTAATAGTTATAATTCTATCAGCTATAAAACTTAAACTGAGCAAAGACAGCATTGGATTTTTTTTGTCTAGCTTTGTTCCATAGCACTGTCCTTTCTCTATCACCAATACTATTAGAAACGCTGGTCTCTTGTACATATTTACCCATTATCTCCTTTATCATAATAAAACAAAGACCACACACTCAAGGAGAGTACCTATGTTACAGGCAACAGCTCTTTTCTTAAACTACTATTCCCAATCCCAACAAGGTCAAAACCACTCAGGCGGACATCATGCAAACAGGACTCCCTAACTAATGGGTGTTGCAAAGACTCCTGCAACAAGAAAAAGGCTGACACATTTATTCAAATGCTAATGGACAACAGGAAATGTGCTGGACAGTTTACCTCTGTCCCTCTTGCGGTCATAGTCTCGATCCCGCGATTTCTCCTTCTTCCAATCCTTTTCTTCTTTGGATGAGGCATAGACACCATGTTCGCGCCGCTCCCGCTCTCTCTGCCGACTGCGCTCCCAAAACTCTTCACTCACACCACCTGGATGGGATGGAGTTTCTACCCGGGCAGATCGATAATGTCTGAAACAGGGAGAGCAACTGGTAAGGGCCCCTCTATAGGAGAAAAACTCTGCCCTAAAACCTTTGGCTGTCCAAACAAGTGATCTCCCCTTTTCCACTTTCTCTCCCTGGGACAGCAGGCTCACATATGGCAACAACCCAAGGCATTTCTAACCTCTACCATCTAGTCTTTAGTCACCTTTGTTTTTCCCCAAAAACTCCGACCTACCTTCAATATTACAGAATCAAAATAAAATCATAAAGCTCTAAATCTCCAACAGGAAAACTGAGAGATAAACATGAGATGTTATTTTCCAGCCTCCATTTGCTTCCCTATGGGCTAACCCCTCCTAAGGCCTTTACCTGTCTTTCCGGATATTTCGGCCAGCCTGGTCACTGCCCTCTTCCTCAGCATCCTTCTGGTCATCCTTGCTCTCTTCCCAGTCCTTGTAGGAAGAGATTTTGGACTTCTTCTTGTCCTCCCCATCGTCCTTCTCCTCTCGCTCCCTCCGTTTCAGGGAAGCCAGCAAGTCCAGTCCCAGTAATGAAGGGCGGGGAGCAGGGGCCTTGAAGACATGCTGCTCGCTGGCTGCACTTTTGGTCTTGCAAATAAGACCGCCAACCTGAGAGTCCAGATCAGTGCCTTCCAATCGATGGATGGAGGCATCCTCACTGGTGTCCCCCATCACAGGATCTGGGATTTCTCTGGAAGGAAGGCAAACCATTTGGTACTGGAAAAGGCTCAGCTGTACCATATCCCAGAATAAATGCAGTTATGGTTATATTTAGGTGATTAACCTTTCCTATCTCCCCCTAAGACCAGGATTACTTTTGCTGCCTCTCTCCAAGACCTTTCCATCAAGTCACTGACAATCTCCAAAGATCCTCCTATTCTAACCCCCAACAAACACCAAAATAGGTGCACACACACACACCCCATATATTCCTCCCCACCCCCCACAAGGATCCAAGAGGCAATAAAAGGCCTCACTAAGGGATACTTTCTAGAGCCTGATGTCATCTGTAACAGGGGTATAGGGAAAACACCACTAAATTTGAGTCAGAAACCTCAATTAGAAACCAGGCTCTTGATACTTTCTACCTGTATGATGGTAAGTCATATTTATTAAATGGAAATAATTTTTACTTTATCTAATCCATGAAGCTATTGTGAGAATCACACAAAAAGTGTATGTGAAACCATAAAGAGTAGCTCTTTATGTAACCATAAGAGTTAACATAAATGTAACTGCTACATTATATTATTTGCTATCCTTCTATATACTGTTGGTCCCTCACCCATTCTTTACATGAGTTCCACCTCCTCCTCTCTTTAAACAACAGGTACAGCAGCACGGAGATGGGGCAGAAGGCTACCATCCATGTTCTCCATACTTTAGTGGCTTTTCTTAGCCTAGCTGCGTTTTACAGAAAACAATTTACTCACAGCAGCCAAAATCAGTTTAATAACAATCCATGTTTACCAAAAATATTTATGAGAAATACTAGGTTAGGAAAAGGTGTTACTGAGAAGTATTTAAGTGGCTACAAGACTTCTGGCACTCAAGTTGGAACAAGCTTCTCTTTACCTCTCACTACACATCTGCCACTCATGAACATATACCATTTCTGGGTGCTTGGATAATTCCTCTCATTCCAACAAGTTAGCAAAGCAAAGGAGGTGCCACCAGAATCCAGAATTTTTTACCAAACTCTAATTAAATGCACAGCTCTATAGAGTACTGCCAAACAGACTGGACACATAATATTAATGCAGAAACAAGAGTTACATTTTGAAAATGCCATCAGGCAGAACAGAAAAAAGAAAGCTGCATATTGGTGACATCTGTACGTATGCGAGGAAATCCACACAAGAAAATAAAGATATACAGGCTCTCCTCAATAGTTGTCTAAACTAGGAAATGTACCCTGGACTGCCATTCTACACAGGTGAGAGAACACTGGATGTGTCGTTGACTGCTGTAGCTCAATGTCTAGCAAAATAAGCGTTTGATAAACTTAAAAATGAATTAATTTAACCTTATTAAAGGAAAACAGAAACCCAAACATTTCTGGAGACAGCAAAGGAAGATTCCAGCAACACAGGACAAGGAGGCAGCCAGACAGGACTTAACTAGCTGCTGAGAAGAACAAATAAGAGCTAAAGAGCAAGATTCTTGAGAAGAATTAATGGCAAAGAAACTACAAGGGGTACGAGAAAGCCAGGGAAGAAAGAACCTAGATTCACGCATTCAACAATTATTCACTGAGGGCGTCGCTGAGCCAATTGCTGTTCTCGGCGACAGCAACAGAGAAGAGAACAAGACAAAAATCCCCGCCCACCTGAAGCTGACATTCTAGTAGAAGAGATCGCCCACCAGATTGCCTGGTATAAATAACACTGTGAGAGAGCAGAGGAAGACACAAGGAGTCCTACTCGGGCTCGGACACAGTCTGGGGTGGGTTACAGCGGAGGCCTGGGAGAGGGAGCAAGGCCACTCCAGGCAGCACTCCTGGATCTCAGCGAGGCCGCTCCAGGCAGCAGGATTTGACCAGAGCAAGGAGGAAGGCCAAGGCTGGCAGGACGGGTGCAGCATCCCTGAGGTGAGTAAGGCAAGGTGGGTGACAGGGACGACAGAGGAACTCCCCAAACTGGGGCCCGGACCTAAGCAGGGAACCAATATCCGCCGCCTGGAGCCGCCATGATTATAGAAGGGCAGGCCAGGAAGGAAGAAGGGACTCTCACCTCACCAAGCGCGACTCTTGGGACCCTTCTGTCCCGGATTCTGGGGCGCCGGCGCTGCCACCCCTCGCTTAGACAGGCTCAAGGAGCCAAAATCCACACCTTGAAAGCGGCCATTATTGTCCCTTAATACCTTGCGCGGCCCCCTCTATCCGCCCAAAGCTACCATAGAGAGCAGTCTGGAACACGCCGATTCCTGGATCCAAGTGTGGAACGGAACGCGAACAGGCTCTCAAGGCCGCCTCTGGGGCTCTGATCAGAGACACTTCCGAATCTCCTTGTGACCAATCACTCTCAGTCTAAAAGACGACATCCCGCCTCTAGTCTGGGGGCAGGAAAAGGAGGGGAAAAAGGTCGACCATCTTTAACACTGGCGGAGGCGACGCCTAGCTTCCGGTCAGAGCTGCGCAAGGTGGGCGGTGACTAGAAGCTCTTCTGTTTATTGGGCTGTTGAGCGGGGGCCGACCGACGACCGGGAGTTTCTTTTCTGTGCTTGTGCGTTTTCTATTCGGTTTCCTTCCGGCTAGCGGGGCCACAAGGGTTGCTAGGCAACAGGTCCTGGGTGACTTGGCCTTAGGGTTCTGCCCGGCTTGGGGCTGATGAAAGGAGCCGTCCACGCCCGGGCTCTTCCGAGAAGGGGTTGCCGACAGTCACAAAGTGGAAGGGAGGGAGGCGGCGTAGACGAGTAAGGTAAGTGCTACGGTCCCTAGCGCGTGTGGGCCAGGAGCAGCGTAACACAGGTGACTTTAAATACATATATCGGATATTTTGGAAAATAGAGATGCGCGCCCCGCTGTAAATAAAAATCACCCGTGCCTTCATACGCAGAGGTGACCACTGATGGTGTTTGGGGATATTTATTTCCAGTTGTTTTTGTGGAATACGTTGTAGTAAGGTTTTGTACAAAAGTGAGTTCAAAGTTTTTTTCTTTTTTTTGGTGTTTCTGCAGTTGTGGCGCGCGCCTGAGGTTCCAGCTACTAGGGAGGCTGAGACGGGAGGATTGCTTGAGCCTGGGAAGTTGAGACCAACCTGGGCAACATAGCGAGACGCCGTCTCAGGAAAAGAGAGGGAGAGAGGAAAGCAGTGGAGTTATTGGTCAAAGAGTATGTTCCCTTTCTTTCCAGAAAGATTTTGTGCCTGCATTCCTGCAGGGACTCCCTGTGTCTGCCCCTACATTCATACTCTTGCCATTATTGTGTCCCACTGTCTTGTTTGATTTTCGCCAATTCAGTGACTTTGTAAACATATCTTTTAATTTACTAGTAAAGCTTAACTTTTCAAATATATTTAGTGTCCATTTGTACCTCTTCTTTTGGACTAGAAAGTTGGTGGCCTGTATTCTAGTCCTTGTCGTTGTAACAGGAAGTGCAACTGTAAGCAAGCTAGTTTGTAAAATGACGGGGTTGAATTAGGCCCCTTGTACCTCAGCATTTTATGATTTGTTTATGGAATTGTAGTTTTCACACACACTCTTAACTGATCTGTTTGCCATGTAATGAGGTGCACCTAGAATCTTTAAGCCAGGTTTTGTAATAATATAATGTACACAATAAACGACTGTTTAAAATGTGTAACAACACATGCAAGAAATAATATGCTGCCATGACAAAGAATATGGATGTTTTCTATATAGAGATATGGGGCAATCTTCATAGGTTAGGTTTGAAATAATGAAAAGTGCAGAAGAGTAGATAAAGTGTGCGTGCTGAACATCTGCCATTGGTCCCTCCACAGCCATTCTTCATCCTCCTCTAGACTGCTCTGGGATGGGGAGGTTTGCCTGCCTCAACAGGCCCCTGCCCTCTGGTTCCAGTTGGAGTCAGCCAGTGGTTTCCCAAGCAAAGGTCGGAGGGAGGGAGGAGAGTGGCCACAACACTTAACAGCAGGCCGCCCTCCTATACACTGTCCTCTCCACTCACCTCTTTTTGCCACACAATTCTTATAACTGCTTCCTCCCGTGGCCTAGGGATGGATATAGCATCCTGCTGTTACTAGCCCCAAAGTAGTACACTTTACCCTGTTGTTTTTCTACAACTGCCTTAATTAAACTGCTTTCAAATTACCAAAGTTGAGAGTGTCATGGCTTTCTTGCTGAAACACTGATACAATAGGCTATCTTTTGAGGGGAGAGAGAGGGAGAGAAGAAATATAGGAACACATATTTGTATTTTTTTGTGAATGCGTAACAAAACTCTGAAAGATACATGAGAAACTAATGAAAGCAGTTATCGGGCTGGGTGAGGGAGCAATGAAAACAGGGCACAAGGAGCAGGGACAAGGAGAGGGAAACTCCACGATATTACCTTTCTATGATGTTTCTTTTATACCATGTGAATGCATTAGCTACTCTGTGAATTAATATTTTTTTAATGAGGGCTCACACACTTAATCTAAACTATCTTTAAACATTGCACCTTTGTTTCAGGAGTGACAGGATTCACATTTGGGTTATCTCAGGATGAGCTTCCTACTGCCCAAGCTGACTAGCAAAAAGGAAGTAGACCAGGCGATAAAAAGTACTGCTGAGAAGGTGTTGGTTCTCAGGTTTGGAAGAGATGAAGATCCTGTCTGTCTGCAGCTAGATGATATTGTAAGTGACTGTCTAAGTGGTTTTTATTAATAATCTGTATTCTTACTTCAGCATCTGAATAGTACATGAGAGGGAGTAGTCAGGGCTGGGTATATGGCTACTCATTTGTTAGTTCACTAAGAGCTGATTGTGTGCCTGGCCTGAGCCAAACCCCCAAATCTGTGTGTGCTGAATCTGTCTTGGATGTCCTTACCCACTAGAAGCTGTCAATGCTGTTTCACCAACAAGGCAATGGAAGAGCAAAAAAACTATTAACAAGCATCTGTGAACACTATCTTTTCAGTGCTTACAATAGTAAGATAATAGTAGCCCCATTTGCCAGTGGGAGAAAAAATGCCAGAGAGGTCAAGTAACTTCCCACAAGCACAGATCCACTATATTGCAGAGCTGAGATTTGAACTCAGTTTTCTGTAGCTGCGAATCATCTTTTCTTGTGTGCTGCCTCCAGTATGCGCCTGATGCAGAGAGACCTAACCCAAAACTAAGACCTCTTAGCACCATTTCTACTGCTGCCATCCCGTGTAAGAGCTGAGCGTACAAATCCACATTTCCGTGGTTGCAATGAGGGTGTGATGTGTTAGCCATGGGGAAAAAAGGACCAGAGGATTCTACCCTCAGCCGTAGGGAGGAGGAAATACCACATAAGTCAGTAATGTAGACACTGAAGCCACGCTGCCAAAGTTCAAATCCCCGCCCTACTGCTTAGGAGCTGTGTGACCTAGGCAAATTACTTTACCTCCCTGTGCCTCAGTTTCCCTATCTATAAAATGAGGACTCTAGTAGCATATACCTTTTAAGAATGTTGTAAGGATTAAATGGGTTAACAAATGTTAAGCACTTAGGACAGTTACCACATAGTAATGTCATATAAGTGTCTGTTACTAATTATTGTGATTTTCATTTCTGGGAGGATTGGGAGGAAGGAGACATTAGGGAATTTCAGTATCCATATTACATATTTCTAAGTTGTGTTGTTTTAAATGAGCATGGGTTACTTTTATAAAAACATTCAAAGAAGGAAATTAAAGGAAGAAATAGATTCACAGTTTTCCCCAAGGATTTCTACGCTTAGCTCTTACACAGGATGGCAGCAGTAGAAATGGCCAGAAGACGTCTTAGTTCTGGGTTAGGTCTCTTTCTGTAATGAATAAACAAGAATACTCCCATGCTGTCACCCTCCTAACCTCAGTTTCCCAAGGTTCCTTCCTAACCCCGTCTGCAGGGAATGAGATTCTGGAGGATGGGGTTACCTTGTGTCTAATGTGGGAGCCACAGGGGCTGCATTGTTGGCTCAGGAGTTTTTTTCAAACAAAATACTCTGTTGTAGTGACAAGTTTCACAGAAGAAACATTAGCTGCCTCTCATATTGTAACCTTCGTCTCTCTCATTTGCAGCTTTCTAAGACCTCTTCTGACTTAAGTAAAATGGCTGCTATATACCTGGTAGATGTAGACCAAACTCCAGTTTATACACAGTATTTTGACATCAGTTATATTCCGTCTACTGTCTTTTTCTTCAATGGGCAGCATATGAAAGTGGATTATGGGTAAGTGCAGTTGATCTGAAGTTATTGCAACCTTGTAAGTTTCCTTTGGTAAGCAGTTTCAGTGGCTTGCCTATTTGCATGTGATGTTGACTCTGTGAGTCTTATATCAGTACTGTTTCCTCAACTGATGCACTCTCTAATTTTTTATGCAAAGCCTTGCTACAAAATGACAGTGTTTCAGGTATGATTGTCAAATTTTATTTATTTTTTTAATTAAAAATATGGTGCATACACATGGTTTATCAAATTTTAATTTCCAACTTAAGTATAAAGAAATAGTACAGTTTGCGAAGCACTACCATCCGTAAGTCTATAAAATATAAAATAGCTATGTTAACTAAATAAAGAACTTTTAAAATTTTCCCAGAAATTTCATTTGAAACAAAATACGTAGTTGTTCTTAAACCTTTGGACTGGTGAGTGGCATTTATAAAAGAAACATTCCTTCCAGCAAACTAAGATGTGCTTCTCTCTTGCAAAGTTTCCTGCTTTTCGCCATTCAGAGAATTTTAAGTCATTCTTCAGCAAAGCCTGTCAAGAATAAGTAGCATGAAGTCTTATTTAATGCCTTCCACTCCATCCAGTTACCATCTCAATACTTAATATTGATGATTGGATGCATCCATGATTCTGACCATTTCTACTGTGGTTGAGGTGTCCACTTATCTAGATCTGTGTACCCTTTTTGTCTTTATTTGAAAGTGTGTGAAATATTATCTTTTTAAAGTGCTTTAGGCTGGGCACAGCGGCTCACGCCTGTAATCCCTGCACTTTGGGAGGCTGAGGCAGGCGGATCATTTGAGGTCAGGAGTTCAAAACCAACCTGGCCAACATGGTGAAACCCCATCTCTACTAAAAATACAAAAATTAGCCGGGTGTGGCCAAGCGTGGCTGGGCGCGGTGGCTTACACGTGTAATCCCAGTACTTTGGGAGGCCGAGGCAGGCGGATCACGAGGTCAGGAGATCGAGACCATCCTGGCTAAGACAGTGAAACCCCGTCTCTACTAAATATACAAAAAATTAGCTGGGCATGGTGGCAGGTGCCTGTAGTTCCAGCTACTCTGGAGGTTGAGGCAGGAGAATGGTGTGAACCCAGGAGGTGGAGCTTGCAGTGAGCCGAGATCGTGCCACTGCACTGCAGCCTGGGCAACAGAGTGAGACTTCGTCTCAAAAGAAGAAAAAAAATGAGCCGGGCATGATGCTGGGCGCCTGTAATCCCACCTACTCAGGAGGCTGAGGCAGGAGATTCACTTGAGCCTGGGAGGTGGAAATTGCAGTGAGCAGAGATCGCACCACTACACTCCAGCCTGGTGACAGCAAGACTCCATCTCAAAACAACAACAATAACAACAACAAAAAACACAAAATATTTTAAAGCTGTTTATTCTACTGGAACACAGTTGATGTAAGTATTAATTTGGGACAGCCTTTTAAGGGGGCCAGTTCAACATTGTGTATCAAATACTTTAAAGTGTTTAAACTTTTTAACCCAGTAATTACACTTTCAGGACTTTAATATGATGTTGTAGATGCAGATTTAACAACTGAAAGAAATACATGTTGGCTAGAAAAAAGCATATTACTGAATAATTTGTATGATATAATTTCCAGTGTTGGGAAAAAAGAAGTGTGTATCTGCACATACACACACACACACACACACACACAATTGGAAGGATATACACTGAAAAGTGACCTCTGGCCTCATCGGTGATTTTGTTTCTTTCTTTAAAATTTTTATAGTAACATACCTGATGTTTGAGATACTTTTCTAAAAAAAATAGTTTTTTAATACCTACCTCTCAAAAGTATAAGCGACTAGAACTTAAAGGCTGTGAGTATTGAATGGGCTTTGCACGTTGCCCCGGCAAAAACAATAGCAAACACAGAAACAGTGTACATTCCAACACTTGGTGATATGAGAAGTGATAAAAATAGATTTTGTGATTACGATAGATTTGAAGCTGAAGCTTTTCACGTGATAGAGCTTTCATGCTAGTGGCCCACAGCACTGGGTTTAGTCATTTACTAAATGGAAAAAAATGTTGGACTTTATGTCTGAAGTCTCATTGACAAGAAGAAAATAACAAAGCTGTTGTTCATTTTGTTTATCCTGAAAGTCTTCCACAAGGTGATTATTCAAAGTTCTTAGAGCAGTTGTTTCTCTTCTATGGTGTCTAGATCTCCAGATCACACTAAGTTTGTGGGAAGCTTCAAAACCAAACAAGACTTCATAGATTTGATTGAAGTAATCTATCGAGGAGCAATGAGGGGGAAGCTTATTGTCCAAAGTCCTATTGATCCCAAGAATATTCCCAAATATGACCTTCTCTATCAAGACATTTAGTACATTAACTGCTGTCAAAGATGAAGAAAAAGGCACATCTTGACACAGTACCTGAATCCAGCTCTGCTGTTTCTGAAGTCCTTTGGAAACGTGTGTCCCAGATGAGAAGAGGTTATACTTGCATGTAGAAAACCTGGCCCCTGAGGAGAAGACCCCGCTAGTTCTCTGATGACCTGGGATGCCTGTCTACTCCCTGCAAGCCTCAGAGCAGCCAAGTCATTGGTGTTCATTTTCCCCACGGTGATTGTTGTAACTCCTCTTTCTAATGTTTGTCTTTATTTCTTTAATACAGAGTCCTCCAAAACATTGGCTAGTACAATTTGATTTAATCATGTTCATTTGGTACACAAGTGAACTGGAAAGTCACTTCCCATAGAAGCAAAAGTACTTATTTTCTACCCTAGCTGGCTGCATGCCTGCACACACACATGCACACACTCTCACACTCACACACACACACACACACACCCCTTTGCCCATTCCTCCACTCATACATCCCTCATGCTTTCCCATCTCCAGTCTGTATTACTGTAGTTTCTCTTCAAATAAATAATTGAGCAGACAGGTTTGTTTTATTTTGAAGCCTTTTGGGTCTGACTTTTAAACATTGTCCTGGTTGGCTTTTTTTTTTTTTTTTTTTGAGATGGAGTTGCCCAGGCTGGAGTGCAGTGGCACGATCTTGGCTCACTGCAAGCTCTGCCTCCTGGGTTCACACCATTCTCCTGCCTCAGCCTCCCGAGTAGCTGGGAATACAGGCGCCTGCCACCACGCTTGACTAATTTTTTGTATTTTTAATAGAGATGGGGTTTCACTGTGTTAGCCAGGATGGTCATGATCTCCTGACCTCGTGATCTGCCCACCTTAGCCTCCCAAGTGCTGGGATTACAGGCGTGAGCCACCGCGCCTGGCCCATTTAATTATTTTTTATATTATAAAATTGAATATGAAAAGTGAGAATTTGAACCTTCACTCTCCACCACTCTATTCAGGTAAAACAATGCATGAGCCACCCTTAGCAAGAGCAGGTTTTTCCCAGAAGCTGCTGCCTCTTCCTGAGGCAGAAAATTGTATTACTAAAGCTCAAAACTAAAAGAGATGTTAGCATTGTTAGAAAGAAATGTCACCCTTATGGGATTTGCCTGTTTTAATAACTTTGTGAGGAATTCTTACTCTTCCGGGGCACCTGGTGCAACCGTGGGCAAGTTACTGTCCCTCTTTAAACCTCATGATGGTTACTGAAACATTTATTAGAAGGAGAGGGTAGGCGCAGAGCTGGAGAACCATGGTCGAGGCAGCTTGTGATCTGCCTAGCAGCCGCTGACCTCCTCGCCAGCAGAAGCCCAGTCCTGTTCAGAGCAGCACTGTCACTGCAAGTCCATCCCCTTTTGCCAGGGGTTCCATTCCACCCCTTTTCTGCAGGGAGAGGTGCCATGAGGCTTGCTTCTGGCTTATACAGGACAGAGGGAAGGCTGCTGGGCACTGCTTGTGTTCCTGCTGATAAAAGGAGGGAGTCACTCCAGGAATAAGACAAAACAAGAGGAGGAGGCCGTCACCTCTGTCCTCTTCCGTCATACACTTCCTGCCTCTGGTTTAATCATGATGCATGGAGCTACAACAGCCATCTTAGGCCCATGAGGTGCCCAGCATCAGGTAAAACATCGACATGCTAAGAAGAACAGAAAGAGTCCGATCCCTGATGTTACTGAACTCCTGCGTGAACTCAGCCTGCCTCCCTCAGATTTCTGTGAAAGAATAAAATTTCTTTTTGCCTAAGTCACTGTTAGTCGGGTTTTCTATTCTTCAGCCCAGTTCACACAGTATTTGAGGTATGGTGAGCACTCAGCCCACCAGCCAAAACTCAGAACCTGCATGCGCAAAATTCTTGTGTCTTCTTCCTCCTGTTAGAAATAAGTTCTTGGTGCCGCAGAGGAAGAGCAGCACTCAGAAGAAAAGTTTCTCAGCAAGGCAAAGTTTACTTTGCAGAAGGGTGCTGCCTGCACCTATAGCAGTCACAAGAGCACAGCTAACAAAGGAGAACAGAGGTGTTTAACCCTAACGCAGTTCCTGCCTCTTTGTATTTCCCCCATTGGCTGGGGTTGGACTGCACAGTCTAGGCTGACCCCAATTGGCTATGTGCTTGAATCTTTCTCAAAAGGCACAGGTTAAAGGTTACAGGTTAAGGTTTGGAGCAAGGCAGTTTACAGCCTATGACAAGAAAGTTGGATCTTTGAAGAGGAACCTTTCATTTATTCTGACAATTTCCCCCTTTTTTTATAATTCTTCCTCTTCAAATTATTTTTGTAAGATTTGACTTTGTTGCTCTTCTTGATTGTCTAGGTAAAAGTTTATCTGAATATGGAGGGGGAGAGACAGAGGAGGTTTTAGTGAGAGCTGTTTCTACGAGTCTTTGAACTAACCCACGAACACAGTGTGTGATGCAACAGCCTACAAGGATGAGTGCACTTGTAACAATTGCAAGGGAAGTGAGGATAGAGGCCATAAGTCCTTTCCATTTACCAAACTATCTTTCCAGTAAACCTGTGAAGGGGTCATCTGTTCCAGAATTTTCAGCCAGCTCATTTGCTAGGGTGTTGAGGCCTTGTAGAGCCTTGGTAATGGTTCCATCGGGAACTGTGTTATTTGGGATCAAAGTACAACATTAGGGTCTGATGATGACACAAACTCTGCCTTTTTCTGCTAATATCATGTCAAGAGCTATCCTGTTTTCCCAAGCCATCTGGCTGGTGGGACCAAATTGCTCCGCTATCCCGTTAATGGCATCTCTGGTATAAATAACAAATCCTTGTTGATTGTCATATGTATAATTTATCCAATCTACATTTGTGTTTATAGTAGACCACCAAAGTAAGACTGACTAAAACCCAGCAGCTATTTGATTTCAAGCTTTAAATTCATTGGCTACTCCTCATGGTACTCCAATTGCCTCTATATAGACATGGGGGTCGAAAGACCCTTGAGCTTCTCTTTTTTCCCAAGAGGGTGACTTTTTGCCGGACTGATGAAATGCCAGGGTGAAAGAGATGGCCAATTGGATTAGAGCACAAGTGCCACTCCAATTATTTGGCAGCGTACCCAGTAGAGGTCCTGCACAATACCACCGAACATCTGCTCGTGGATAGACGAGGGCAGTCTGATTGGTGAGCTATCGAAAAGGCTTGGATTCACTGCATCCTGTTAGATTCCTGAAAGATGCCAAGTTTTCCCCCTGTTGCGAGAAACATGAGGTAAAATTGGCATGAGAGGTCGGGTACTGGATGGCCCTTGGGGGCTGACCCACAGAGCAGTCTTTGACTTTCAGGAAAAGCGGTGAGAGAGTGGTGCATGACTTACTACCCCAGGCTGGGAGATGCTGGAAGAGAGCTACCATACTGTCCATGCCCGGTTGGTTAGACCATCGAAACAGGAAAAGAACTATTTGGATTTCTGGCCTGCCTGTTGCACAGGTGTAATAGTCGCTTTTATTTAAAGTGCACACTGAGTGTTTGATCGATTTCAGCCAGGCATTTGTTTCTTGGTATCTGGCCTCAATAACCAGAGTGTGTTTTAGGTCTTTGACTTCCACTATGGTCACTTTAGTTTTGTCATTAGGTAATGGCAAGATAGTTGTTTGATTTGGAGGAGATCTTGGGGAAGGAAGGGGTGCTGGAGGGGTGACAAAACCAATCTCCAAGGACCCTATGGGGTCTTTCCCAGTAACATCTGCCCCTATACCATAAAAGCGACTTAGGGTGGGAATAGGGTTAGCGGAGATTGAAGTAGTAATAGAAATATGCACCGGGTTATGTCAGGTGTTGGCAGTTAAAGGAGTTATTTCGTTTAGTAAAATGGATATAAGGTTTTAGGGAGGTACAGCCTGCTGGGAAAGTCCAGCCTTGGGACTGAGTGGTCCAGGGAATATCGTACCAGGAATGGTAGGGTAGCCAATTATAAGGAATCTTACAAAGATCAGATTGAGGGTGGGGTGAGTACCAAAGGCAAAGATACTTTTCCGAAGAGGCTAGTTGCCTTTAACTTGGTAGGTCTCCGCAAGGTATGGCTAGGCAAGCATCAAACTCAACAGCTTGAGGGGAGGCTGATTTGGTTACATTAATAATGAAATGCCCCTGGGCAATTAGGAGGAAGAAGAGACAAATTAGACCTTTTGAATGTTAATTTTGAGGGAGTTGGTCCTGGAGTGGTGGTCCATGATTCCATAAGGGGTGGGGTCCTTTTTACCCAAGTGTGATGAGTCCACCCCTGTTCAGCTGTTGGGACTGCTGTTTTAGGTGTTAGGAGTATTAGATAGGGTCCCTCCCACGATGGTTCCAGTTTTTCTTTCTCCAGCTTTTGATGAGCACATAATCCCTAGGCTGATGTGGGTGTACTGGAAACTCTAGAGGTGGCGTTTGTGCTAAGAGGCCTTGGATCCTGAGGGAAGACAGGGTGGAAGACAGACGACACACATAGTTTTTAAGAAATTGATCTTTTGTTTCCAATGTGGGGATGTCAGTGGTGGAATTTAAGTATGGCAATCTGTAGAGCATTTCGTAAGGGGACAGGCTGATATCTTTTCAAGGAGTGGTACGAATTCTTAGTACGGCGATAGGGAGGCAGTTCATCCATGGCAGTTGGGTTTCGAAGATTAGTTAGGTGATTTTTTAGAGTTTGTTTCATTCTTTCTACTTTTCATGATGAGGGTGGGTGCCAGGGAGTATGATATTCCCATTTTTTTTCTAGTGTCTGGGTTAATCCTTTAATGACCTGTGCAGTAAAATGGGTTCCATTGTCTGAGTCAGTGTTCTCTATTAATCTGAATCTGGGTATGATGTCTTCTCTTGTGATACCTTACCCTGTTTTAATATGAATTGACTGTCCCTTAGCTGAGGAAGCCGGACAGACTGCGTTTGGCTCCTTCATTTGCAAGACATCAAGGGCTCCTTACCCACCCCCTTCCTCGAGGATTTCACTTGTGCAAGCTAACTCCCAACACATCAAAGAGTGCAATTAACTGATAAGGTACTGTGGCAAACTATATCCGCAGTTCCCAGGAATTTGCCCAGTTGATAGTACCTATAGCCCCCGCGTTTGTGTCCAGTAGATAGCATCCAAGGCCCTCGCACCTATCACCTTGTGATGGATTTAAAGCCCCTGCACTTGGAACTGTTTGTTTTCCTGTAACCATTTGTCTTTTTGCTTGTTTTACTTCTGTGAGATTGCTTCAGCTTGATTCCCGCTCCCCTTTCTAAACCAAAGTGTAAAAAAAAATCTAACCCCTTTTTCAGGGCCGAGAGAATTTTGAGCACTAGCCATCTCTTGGTCACCAGCTAATAAAGGACTCCTGAATTCATGTTAAAGTGTGGCGTTTCTCTATAACTCGCTCAGTTACAACACTATTGGTACTTTAACTACATTATTGTCAGTTGCACTTGGCAGGTGAATGGCTTCCACCCAGTGAGTGAGATGGTCCATTATAACTAACAAATATTTGAGGCAGCCTATTTGGGGCATTTCAGTATAGTCTCTTTGGACACTTTAGGAATGGCCGTAGCCCAGGATTTCTTCCCCCAAAGGGTGGTTTTTTTAAAGTTTGTTTATTGGTTTTTCTGCATACCATACAACTGTCTGTGACTTGCCTGGTAAGGGTATAAATCCCTATACACCCGTAGGTTCTAAGGACTGCGTCACACACGGCTTGGGGACCCCAGTGAATTCCTTGGTGAAGTTGTGCTAAGATTTCTCTCATTAGGGGCTTAGACAACATTTCTTTGTTATCTGGCAGTATCCATTTCACTTCTGAGTTTTCATTAGCCCCTATTTTCTTTAATTTTTCTTTATGTGGTTGGGAGAAGATGGGGGTTGCGGATGGGGAAGGGAGACAAGGGGTTAAATGGAAAATGGGTGCTTCTTGGGAAGCGACTCTCGAAAGAGGAACCTTTTTGGTGTCCTGGGACATAAACAATGACTGTATCCTCTAGTAGCTGAAGGTTTTCTAATACTTGCATGATTAACTCTTTGTGGACAAGGTTTTGGCCCTTGCTAGTAATAAGACCTCGTTCAGTCCAAATCTTCCCAAAGGTATGGGCCACTCCAAAAGCATATTTGGAATTGGTGTAAATATCCCTTCTTGATTCTGCAGATATTTTAAGGCTTGATTTAGTGCGAACAACTCACATGTTTAGTTAGACCAGTTATTGGGCAGTCTCCCTGATTCAACTTCTATGAGAGTTTCTCCATCAACCACTGAGTAGCCATTATGTTTTTTCTCTTCAATTACCCAGGAGGAGCCGTCTACAGAGAAATGGTGCCCTGTTTTTAAAGGGGTCTCACTTAGATCAGGCCTTACTTTAGTCTGATGATTGATTAAGTCTAAGCTTTTGTGCTCAGGGTCTCCGGCATTTGGATTTCCTGTCAGGAAGGTGGTGGGGTTGGCCAGGTGCAGTGGCTCATGCCTGTAATCCCAGCACTTTGGGAGGCCGAGATGGGTGGATCACCTGAGGTCAGGAGTTCAAGACCAGCCTGATAAACATGGAGAAACCCCATCTCTACTAAAAATACAAAAAAATTAGCCAGGTGTGGTGGCACATGCCTGTAATCCCAGCTACTTGGTAGGCTGAGACAGCAGAATTTGCTTGAATCCGGGAGGCAGAGGTCGTGGTGAGCCAAGTTGTGCCATTGTACTCTAGCCTGGGCAATAAGAGTGAAACCGTCTCAAAAAAAAAAAAAAAAGGCCGGGCACGGTGGCTCAAGCCTGTAATCCCAGCACTTTGGGAGGCCGAGATGGGCAGATCACAAGGTCAGGAGATCAAGACCATCCTGGCTAACCCAGTGAAACCCCGTCTCTACTAAAAAATACAAAAAACTAGCTGGGCGAGGTGGCGGGCACCTGTAATCCCAGCTACTTGGGAGTCTGAGGCAGGAGAAGGGCGTAAACCCAGGAAGCGGAGCTTGCAGTGAGCTGAGATCTGGCCACTGCACCCCAGCCTGGGCAACAGAGCGAGACTCTGTCTCAAAAAAAAAAAAAAAAGGAAGGTGGCAGGGTTGAGCTCATTGTCAGTGGTTAGGGTTAAATCACCTTTTTCTAATAGAATAGCTTCATATTTTAGGATTCTTGAATCCGTAAGCTATCTCCCTGCTTTTTGGCTAAGAATGGTTTTAACCTGATGGGGTGTGCTTACAATGAGACTTCCCCCAAAGGGTATTTTTCTACTTTCTTTTGTCAATAAAGCAGTTGCTGCTATAGATTAGATACATTCAGGTCACCCATGGGTTACTAGGTCAAGAATACTTGACAGAAAGGCTGTGGGCTGGCAATGGCCCCCATGCTTTTGAGCGAGTACTCCTATAGCTGCCCCCTTGCTTATATTAGCAAAAAGGTGAAATGGCTGTTCTAAGGATGGCAGAGCTAAGACAGGAGCAGTTATAAGTAGATGTTTTAGTTCCTCAACTTGCTGGACGTCTTGTGTAGTCCAAAGAAAGGGGTCGGGCCCTTCTTGGGTGAGTTTTAGATATAGAGGCTTTGTCTTTAAGGCATAAGAGTCAATCCACAGGCAACAATTTCCAACTAGCCCCAAGAATTTTCGAAGTTTTTGTTTTGTCTCAGGCAATGGCAAGGATATGATCCCTTCAATTTGTTCGGGCCCTATCTTCCGCTTCCCTTTGCTTGTTAAGTGCCCCGTGTATTTTACCTTGGGTTCTATGAGCTGGAGTTTACTTTTTGGACCCATAACCGTTGTTTCCTTAGGAAATTTAGAATTGTGTTTACTTGGTCTTTGGTGCCTCCAGAAATGAGCAGGTCGTCCACATATTGGAGTAGATATAAGGATGATGAAAGAGTGAAATTCTCTAGGACTTGTTCCAAAATTTGACTGAATAGGTTTGGAGAGTCTGTAAACCCTTGGGGTAGAACTGTCCATCGGTACTGTTGCTTCCAACTGGAGTGAGGGTCCTCCCATTCGAAAGCAAATATGTCCCAGCTATCCTCAGCTAAGGGGCAAGCCCAGAAGTCATCCTTGAGGTCTATTACTGTGAACCACTGGCGGTCATGAGGGATCTTGCTGATAATGGTGTAAGGGTTAGGAATGACAGAGTGGGTGGTCTGGACTATTTGGTTAATGGCTCAAAGGTCTTGTAGTAGTCGATATGACCCATCTGACTTTTTTACAGGCAGTATTGGAGTGTTGTAAGAGGACATACAGGGTTTAAGAAGTTCTTCCTGAAGGAGACCTTCGATTATAGGTTATAAACCTATTCTGCCTTTCAAGGGAATAGGGTACTGTTTTTTCTTTACAACTTCCCCAGGATTTCTTAATTTTACATGGATTGGAGAAACTTGTAATTTCCCCCAATTTCCTTCCTCTGAGTATACATCAGAATGGATTTGGCTCTCCTCTAGGATTTAAAGTAAGTTTAAGGAAGTAGAGAATTTTCCTTGATTAACATATAGACCTATACCTAATTTTATCATTAAGTCCCTCCCGAACAGGTTTGTCCCTGCTTCTGGAATTAACAGGAATTTGATGCTAGCTAATTAGTCCTGATACGTGACTTTGCAGAAGCCCACAGGCTGAGGCCAGGAGGTGGTGCTGGGGAGGAAGGCAGAGAAGATGAGTGATCAAGAGAATGCCACAGCTTTTCTCTTACTGTTATTTTACCAGAGCCACTTAATACAATCAGACAATTCTTTAAGAAAACTGGAGACTGCCTTCTTCTTCCAAGAAACTTGGTACTGAAGAGAACTACAAGAGGAAAAGGTGTAAGTGACTGTGTTCTGAGAGACATTTTTTAAGAGTTTGGTGTTTCCCAGTTTCTGGCTACTATCTCACAGGTTCTAGAATACAGGTCTTATTGGCCTACTAGCGCTAACCTGTTGAAGTTTGTTGATGAATCTGCAGGACGCCTGTGAGGAGAGCTTCACAGAGATGGCTAGACCCTGGTGAGAGAGAGTGACATCAGTGTCGTTTTACACCCTGCAAAGGAGGGGCCACATTTTGGCATGAGAAGAAGGCGCATTGGTGATTGGTGGTATTGAAGGCTGATAGCAAGAAAAAATTCATTAGAACAGCTTCTGTTTTTCAGAGCTCCAGAACCTTTCTTCTGGGAGACCATTGATGGCGAGACCTGCCATCAGGAGAGGAGGCTCAGCCAGCTTGCGTTTGATTCCTGGCGAAGGGTGGGTTTGTTCCAAGTAGGAAAAGCAGCTTCTATTGAGGCAGGGCCTCTACCTCCCACTCTGTACAGAGTCCCGGAAGGTTACTGCTGATAGGGACATTACTCTGGCTCAAGTCCTTCATGGAAGAGACCAGGAACTGATGGCCAGGAAGCCTAAATTACCTAGCAAATGTTTGGGCTGAGCTGTGATTTGGACCCAGCACATTCAGAGGTCCTGCCTTTACATCATCGTCTTTTGTTTTCTGGAGTGCTGGTAGGTTAGATCCCAAACTCTGAAGTACTGTCTGTGTCAAAACACTTTTTCCCCATCCTACTTTGAACTAGCCTCTTCCTCAGCAGGCCCATGTCCTTTCTCCTAATTCACTTTGAAGAGGCAACAGCATGCAGTGAAAAGAGCTCTGAGTTTGTATCAAACAGGGCTGGGTTCAAAGTTCTGCTTCATTGTTTCATGGCTATGTAACCTTAAGCAACTCACTTACCATCTCTGAGTCTCTGTTTCCTTCTCTGGTAAAACAAGGACAACAGTTGCCTTTCTGGGGCCTAGCATTCAATAGGCACTTAATCAGTGAGCGTGATTTCCTAAGGTGGAAGAGTTTGTATCACCTTTGGGATTTCCAGTGGGTTTGGGGTGTTTTCTGCCATAATCCCAGTAGACTCTATACCTTCTGGCTACCCTGGACCATAAAGGAGTGAATAAAAAAGTCTCAAGACTGAACACAAAACAGAAATGAGTCAAAAGAAAGCTCTTTATTGATTGACTCAGCAACCCAGGGCTGGCACCCATCAGCTTCAAACCACATCTTATCCCATCCACTCCTGTCCACTCCCGTCCACTTTGCCCTCTTCCAGGCTGGAATCTTGCTTTCAGGCAAGGGCTTCCGGCCAGCTTTGCATTAGTTCTCGGCCATGGTTTTCTGAACCCAGTCCTGGATGGAAGTCACCTTCACATACACACCATACTCAGCCACACCACAGCTCTTATCAAAGCTTAGGATCCCAGCCGCGTACCAGGTATTCTTCTCCAGGTCATGAACGGCAAAGGCACTGCCCGCATCGCCATAACAGGTGTCTTCCTGGTACTTAGACATGCCGGCACAGAAGGTGTGTTCATTCAGTATGGGCTGCACCCCTACAGGGCTCTTTGGTGTCTTCTTTTCGGGGACTGTGCTGCCTTCATAGTGCTTTATGCAGTTGTATTGGTCAGCCACAGGCAGCATGACATACTTCAGATGGTCAGTAAATTTAAAATTGGCATTTCGCCCCCAGCCAGACACGTAACCCACACGCCCTACTTCTGCATAATCCTTTGAAGGTAGGCAGATGGGCATCACTCTCTCATTAATAGGCACCTTCTGTTTGAGTTTGATGAGCCCAATATCTACATGGGAGTAGTTAGGGTGTAGAACCACCTTCTCAATCTCTACAAGCTGCTTTTTCCCCACATAGAGTGTTAAAGTAGGGGCAATGTCTTTTGCTGTTGCATTTTCTGAATGGTTCAGGAAGAGATTTTTAGCCGTGGTCAGCAGCCATTGTTCATTGATCAGTGTGGCCCCTGTGGTGAGATTATGGCGGGAAACCATCTTAGCCTGCCAGGGAAAGCTGCCTTTGGCATCCAGGTGTCCACCCAGGATCCGCTGCACTGCGTCTGCCGGATTCTTGGGCTTCCCACATACTGTCAAGGAGAGCAAGACACTCGTGAGTGGAAATGTGCAAGAGCCTTTCCATCTGAGAAAGAGGGGTAAAAGCATGGGCGGCTGTCACTGCTGCGTAAACTAGGAAGATTTAAATGCTTTGCCCTTACCACCTGCTCATTTCATTCCCAATAGTTGCAGTTTTAAAATAATTCTGTTTTCTTAATTGTTTGCATTACAAAATTTCCCACTTTTCTAACAAAGGAAATGGGAAATACTGAGATTTTTGAGCCCTGGCTGGTGAACTGTATTATATTTAAACAATTATCCCAACAAAGGAATTTCCACAATTCCCTGAAATTCATTGAAAGGGCTAGGAGCTACAGTAATTCATTCTCTCTGAAGAAAGAGGAATCTAGAGCATCATTGACTGGAGCTCAGATTTTGTAGATAGTGCAGTTATTACGAGGCAGGTTGGCAGTTCCACACCAGTAAGAGCCGAAGAGGCTGGGCCTTTGCCTCTGGTTCCGAGAAGGAAAGGAGAGAACAACAGCTCCTACTAATAATGAGAAGCAGAAGTCCCAGCCCACATCCAGCCTCCTTCTAGGCTTCCATGGAATAAGATTTTATATTATCCTTTGACTTGTTCTCCCTGGAGCTTGCTTCTCTTTAGACCCAGGGCTCTCTAGCAGGTTCTCTGTATGCACAGGCTCTCCTGATCTGTGGGCAGTGTAGACAATGGATTCAGCCAGTGCCCTTCAGGCCCCAGTGATCAAGACCCTTAGACCCTTAGTGACCCTTAGGAAGTTACCACCTAACTGCTTAAGTCTCTCCCTGGCCAGCTGCGGTTCTCCCACATCCCTCCTCCTGGCTCTTGTGTGCTCAGAGGAAGCCGCACTGGAAGGCTGTGCCTCTAGGACGTTCCCATCCAGAAGCCCGCCTGCACTGGTAAGTGCTCAGCACCCACCTGCTTCACATTCAGGAAGTTTATCTCCAACAGCCTTATTTGTCCACTGCTTCTCATTGTTTAAGGTGTACACTCCTGAAACAAAAGGCAAGAAATGAGCCAAAGGCAAAGTCAAGTCTAAACCCCGAGCAGAGTGAGAAGGCATTTAAAGAGAAGAATTAAAAGGAAGAGGAAAAGGGGACAAATAGGAAGGGGAAAAGGAGAGAGAATATGAGGAGGAGGGAAGGAGTGCTGTGCTGGAAACCAAGTGCCTGGACTCCAGTTACGCCCAGCAGAACCCACTGTGGTCATGGCGGTCACAGCCAGGCAGTACAGGGAGGGCTCGGGGTTCAAATCCTGACTGCGTCTTACAGGCTGCCTGAATTTGGGCAAGAGATTCAACCTGTCTGTGCCTCCGTTTCCTTATCAGCAAAGTGAGAACAATAACCTCTATTCAGAGGGATACTGTGAGGACTAAGTGAGTAAATAAATATGAAGCACTTAGAGCAGTGCCAGGACAGCAAGACTCACTAGGTGGGGGTGACCTATCGTCATCAGTGTTCCTCCTTTTCCCACATCTCCCGCTGGAGATGGAAATCTGACTCTGAGATAGGTAGGCTGCCTGGCATGGCCTCCCCTTAACAAAACAGAAAACTTGAGGCTGACAAAAGTTCGTCTGCCCAAAGGGCCACAGCTACTGGCAACAAAACGCTTATTAGAATCTAACTCTCCTGGCTCCAAGGAGAGCAATGAACTTTCTGGCGAATCACCCCAGCACTGCCCATCATGGAAATGTCAGAGTGGAAGTTGTATGTAGGGCACAGAGAGACAGTTGTCCAGGTCTTACCATCTCCTTCTGTGCGCAGCCTGTAGTAGTTCTTACACTGGTAGCGAACTGAGTGCTCCACGTAGCCATTTGCAATCACAGGGGGCTTCAGGAAGCTGTCATCTGCAAAGAGAGAAGCCAGAGAGTTTACTATTTGGAAATTGTTCCCAGAGACCCATGAAAAATCAGATGAGAGGAAGCTGCTCTGCACATCAATCTCCTTCTGCCCCAAATAGAAGCCAACAGAAGTGCACGCTCCCCTCATTTCTGGCAGGAACCCCAATGTTCCTGGCAGTTCTGAAAGCTCAGAGGTCGGGATAAGAAGGAGGAACTTTCTTCTCTCAAAGAAAGAATGCAGACCCGAGAGGGTAAGAGTGGGATGCGGCAGCGCCAGGAATGCATGCTCCTACCCAACCAAAGACTGACCTGGGATATCTGTGACATCATTGCCTGAGTACAATGCAAAAAGCTGTCGTCCCCAGAGCAGGAGGGAAATGACAGCTCCCAGGTCACTGCAGAGAGAAAACAACGAGTGGAAAGCTGGTCTCCCTGCTTCACAGCACATGCATGCATCCACACACACATGCATGTACACACACGTGCACGCGCACACACACACACGCATACACACACACTCCTCCCACTAATCAGCCAGAAAAGAAAATCGATATATGGAAGTGCTACGACCAAGAAGTTGCCCCCGCCCCCTCACACACATGCTTCAGCAGCAGCTTCTGAGCATACCATGCTTCCAGCAAGCTCTGTCATGCTGGGAATTCTGCAGAAGCTTCAGAGAGGGATAGAAGGGTACATAGGTAGGAAGGGACCTCAGTTTCTGGCCGCAGTCAGGAAAATACATTGGCAATAATACGGGAGCCCTCCAGGAAAGAGAAAGCTCCCTCAGGCATCCCAAAGATACTGGTAATGAAATGTAGATAACTCAAAGATGGGAACACAGGGCTTAGTATGCTATTCCCTCTACTTCTTGAAATTTTCCATAATCAAGGGTTCCTTAAATATATAATTGTTGAAAACAAATGCTTGGTGCCACAAAGAAGAACTAGCACTGAGACAAAGGACAAAGGGTCTCTCAGCAAGGCAAATTTAATTTTGCAGAAGGTTGCTCCTCATAGGTTCGGTCGCCACGAGAGCACCACAAACAAAGGAAAGCAGAGGTTTTTATCTCTAACGCCGCTTGTCCCTGCTACTGTGTCCTGACTCCATTGGCTAGAGTTGGACTGCACAATCCCTAAGTTGAACCCAGTTGGCTAACTTGAAAAGTGCAGGAATGTGACTACACCAGTGGGAAGGTGGGAAGATCAACTTTGCCAGGAGAAGCAGTTGTGATGGGAGGGGTAACTCACAGAGTGGGTAGCAGATGTGGAATGTGGGCTCTATAGACAATGACTGGTGGGAAGGTTGTTTACCAGGGCAGGGGAACACAGAGTAAGGAAGTCTGGCCTTGAAAGCAGGGAGCAAAGGACAAGGAAACTTCAGCAAGCTAAACCTTTGAAGAAGAATTTCTTACTGTATTTAACAATCCCCCCCTTTAAATATTTTATAGTATTTTTTCTTTAAACCCTTTTAACATAGTTTGGCTCTTTTATTCTACTTGGTCTTCTAAAAGAAAAATCTCACTGGAAAAAGGAGGAGGATGATTGAGGGAAGTTTTGGGGAAAGCTGTTTCAATAAGCTTTTGTATTAATCCTCAGGCACAGGGTATGACACAGCATCCTACAAGAATAAGCAACCCTATTCTGATGGCAAGAGACATGAGGATTGAGGACATTAATCCCTTCCATTTGCCGAACCAATTTCCCATTAAATTTGTGAAGGGGTCATTTAGTCCAGAATTTTTAGCTAGTTCATTTGATAAGGCAGTAAGACTTTGTAGTGCTTTTGTTGTGGTCCCTCTCAGAGCAGTATTATTAGGGGTAAAAGTATAGCATTGGGTTCCGATAATGACACAAACTCCACCCTCTTTCGCTAGTATCATGTCTAATGCTATCTTATTTTCCCAGGCCATTTGACTGGTGGGTCCTAATTGTTCAACTGTCCCTTTAAGAGCATCTCTAGTGTAATTAACAAATCATAGGCCAGGCGCAGTGGCTCATGCCTGTAATCCCAGCACTTCGGGAGGCCGAGGCGGGCAGATCACCTGAGGTCAGGAGTTTGAGACCAGCCTGACCAACATGGAGAAACCCTGTCTCTACTAAAAATACAAAATTAGCCAGGCGTGACGACGCATGCTTGTAATCCCAGCTACTCGGGAGGGTGAGGCAGGAGAATTGCTTGAACCCAGGAGGCAGAAGTTGTGGTGAGCCAAGATCACACCATTGCATTCCAGCCTGGGCAACAAGAGCAAAACTCCATCTAAAAAAAAAAAATCGTCGTTGGTTGTGATAAATGTAGTTTATCTAATTCACATTTTTATTTATAGTTAACCACCAGAAGACTGTGGATTCAAATCCTGCAGTTGTCTGATTTGGGGTCTTAAATTCATCTGGCGCTCCTCGTGGGACTCCAGTGGAATCTTTATAAATATGGGAGTCAACAGACCTATGAGGGGCCTCTCTTATTTTACAGTGTTTGGTTTCTATCTTTTCTGGTTGATGGAACGCCAGGGTGAAAGGGACGGCCAATGGAATTAGAGCACAAGTTCTGCTCCAGTTACTCGGCAGAGTGTCCAATAATGGTCCACCACAATACCACCATACAACTGCTCGAGGATGACTAAGGGCAGACTGATGGGTAAGCTCTTGGAAGGACTTAAGCTCACTCCGTCCCGTTAAGGCTCCAAGGAACACCAGTTTTTCTCCCTGTTGTGAGAGACGAGAAGTAAAGTTGGCATTGGGAGACGGAAGCTGATGGCCCTCAGGGGCTGATCCTCAGGGTGTTGAGCTTCAGGGAACAGCAGAGAAAGAGCTTGACATGATTTGTCGCCCCAGGTTGTGTGGTCTTAGAAGAGAACTACCGTACAGCTTATGCCTGGTCAGTTAGAAGACCATCTGAATGGAAAAGGGACAATCTGGGACTCTGGTCTACTGTTCGCACAAGCATAACAATCGCATTTGTTTAAAGTGCAGATGGAATATTTAATCCATTTTCGCCAAGCATTTGCATCTTGATATCCTGTCTCTAGAGCTATAGTCTGCTTTAAATTTTTTACCTTTACAACCGTTACTTTGGTTGGGTTGTTTTGGAGATGGCAGAAGGACGCTGGGCATTGGGGAGGGCGTTGGATTCCAGTTGTTTCCCAGACTCTGGATATGGATTTTTGTTATTATTATTGTTAACCAGTGGTTTAGCTAACCTTAGAGATTTTTATGGGATTTTGTTTAGTAACATTTGCTCCTAATCCATACCATTTGAATTTAAAGGGTTCTTGGGCCATTGTTTGGGGATTATCTATAATTAGCAATGAGGGGTTACACTGCAGTGCCTTACAATTTGGTGGGGTGGGACCATGAATTAGTTGGAGTTTCTGTTTTAGTCCCCATAACTTATTTGAAAAAGGGGGCCTGGCTGTCCACCCTCCATACTGAGTGGTTTACACAACATCTGCCCAGTCACCACAGGGACTTTTTAAGGCTCTTTACTTATGCTTGGTTGACTCTTTATGGTATGGACATAGGTATTTATCTACATGAGACAGCTTCCTTTGAGCTTGCTTGTCTCCACACGGAATGACTGAACAAGCGTCAAACTGAAGGGTTAAAGGATGGTTAGCCCAAGTTACATTGATGACAAGACGACCTTCTGTTGAAAAGAGAAAATAAACAAGTGATTATTAAGCCCTTTTTAGAGTTAATTTGGTTGGGGTGAGCCCTGGAGTGACGGTTTATGATTCTGGAGGTGGCAGTGCCTTTTTGACTTGGGTGTGATGAGTTCATCCTCTTTCTGCTGTTCGGACTGCAGTCTTCGTATTTAGGAGCACCAGGTAGGGTCCTTCCCAAGCTGGTTGGAGTTTCCCTTCCTTCCAACCTTTTAAGAGGATGTGGTCTCCAGGCTGACGCTGATGTGCTGGAAACTCCAGGGGTGGCACCTGTGCTAGGAGACCTTTAGTCTTAAGGGAAGAGAAAGTAGAGTATAGACCAAGTATATAATTTTTGAGGAACTGATCTTTTATTTTGAATGTAGGAATGTCAGCAGTGGAGTATAAATAGGGCAATCCATAGAGCTTCTCATAAGGGGAAAGGCCAATATCTCTCCGAGGAGGAGTTCGGATTCTTAACGAGGCAATAGGAAGAGGTTTAGTCCATGGCAATTGAGTGTCTAGAACTAATTTAGTTAAATGACTTTTTAGAGTCTGATTCATCCTTTCCACTCTTCCTGAGGAGGAGGGATCCCAAGGGATATGGTATTTCCATTTGATGTCTAGTACCTGGGCTAACTTTTTAATGACATGTGCAGTGAAATGGGTTCCATTATCTGAATCAGTGTTTTCTATTAGTCCAAATCTGGGTACAATGTTTTCAATTAATGCCTTAACTACATTACTGGTGGTTGCACTTGAGGGTGGGATAGTCTTTACCCAGTGGGTAAAGTGGTCTATTATTACTAATAAGTATTTTAAATGACCAACTGGGGGCATTTCAGTATAATTAATTGAACACTTTGAAATGCTCTTAGACCTGGATCTCTTTCTCCAAGGGGTCGTTTTCTTAGACTCTGCTTATTAGTCTTTTTACGTGTTAAGCAACTGTCTGTAACTTGTTTGGCTAGAGTGTAAATTCTTATACATCCCTAGACCCTGAGAACTGCATCGCACATGGCTTGGGGTCCCCAGTGTGTCCTCAGATGTAGTTGAGACTAGATCTCCCACATAAGGAGCTTGGATAACATTTCTTTTTGGCCTGGTAACAGCCGTTTTCCTTCTGGTCTTCTCCGGCTCCTATCTTTATTAATTTTTCTTTTTCAATGGAAGAGAAAATGGGGATTGCAGTAGGGGAAGGAAGACAAGGAGTTAAGTGAAACATAGGCATTTCAGAGGAAACAGCAGCTTGTTTGGCTATCTGGTCTGTTAGGTTATTTCCTTGACTTTCAAAAGAAAGGCTTTTCTGGTGTCCGGGGACATGGACAGTAGCTATTTCTTCTGGCAACTGAAGGTTATCCAGTACTTGGATGATTAACTCCTTATGAACAAAGTCATGACCTTTAAAATTAGTGAGGCCTCATTCAGTCCAAATTTTTCCAAATGTATGAGCCACTCCAAAGGC